TTTATACGGTCTCCAGGTCATATCACTTATATTCAGGAAAAGATGCAGTGTACAAAAATGAAGCAAACGTAAAAAGTTTCAGTTTATTACGAAAAGAACTGGCTGAGTTACGGAACTTTGAAAGTCGTACATTTAATGCATTTTCTCGGCACTTTCAAGAAGCTAGTAAGGGGCCGCCTCCAAAGTGAAATTGATTGAAACTTTGCCAGAAAACTTTCGCTCTTGCACGTCACTCTTATGTAAATCGTTTTTAAATTTAAAGTTAATATTACAATAATTGAATACTTAAGAAATAAAATTTATTATGTGAACATGTAAAAGATAGACAAAAAATAAAATATTTTGGAGTAAGAAAACAGTTCAAAAGCAGTTCCAAAAAAATAGGTTTATTTGCTTTGGCTTCAGACTGATTTGCTGCGGTACTGATCATGGCGAACATTACAAATCTGTTGTGTAGTGGTTTGCAATTGCATACAGTCGTATTCTAATATTACGAATTCTAGTACGGGAGAACGAGATATATACAAATGAAGAATACTGCGAAATGGTACTGTTGTACGGGCAGTATAATCGAAATAAGAGAGAGTCGGCAAGACTTTATGCCATTAAATTTCCCAGTCGAAGACATCCATCTTATTGTACAATTGCCAGTGCTGTTCAACGCTTGCATAAAACAGGGAGTTGTCATAGACGTATTCCCTTATCTCGTGCCACACCTTCAGCGGATACCCGCTGAGGATGTTCTAGGATATGCCCTGGCTCATCCTAAAAGTAGTGTCCTGGATATTAGCAAGGCTTGTTCCTACTCGAAATCGACGGTGTGGAACATATTACATACGTACGGTGCATATCCTTATCGTCCAGTCCTGGCGCAGGAACTAATGTCCGGAGACCAGGAGCTTCGTTTTAATTTTTGCAATTTCGTGTTAAACACACTGGATGAAAATCCAGATTTTTTTAATGAAGTTTTGTGGTCGGACGAATGCCAGTTCTCGAGGCAAGGCACTATTAATACACAGAATAGGCATTATTGGTCCCTCGAAAACCCACATCTATTACGACCGAATTGCCACCAAGTGTGATGGTCTGTGAATATGTGGTGCGGAATATGGAAGAGCTCCTTAATTGGCCCAACATATTTCGATGGACCTTAAACATCAGAATCATACACGGAAATTTTATCTGGACTGTTAGCCTATTTTTTAGAAGATGAAGTTTCCTTACGGAATTTGTCACGTATGTGGTACCAGCATGATGGTGCCTCCGCACACAAATCTGCGCAACCGTGTACATTTTTGGCGCAGACATTTGACACTCGAATAATCGGCTACTGAGGTCAAGAGGTTGCAGAAGCTACAGGTGGAGTTTCTGACGCGGGTTTGGTACTGCATTTCTGTGGAAGACAGTCATTTTGAACATTATTTTAATTTGGTCATTTTGATATAATAAAGTCCATGATTCATGATTGGAGCATCATTATACATTATGCTATAATTTGAACGGCAAATCATGTATTCTTTTGCTGCTATTTGTTTAAACAATCTGTTTAAACCTTTTCTCGGTACAAGTTGTATTTCTTTAATTTAATTTTTATTGTTTGCAATATATCAATACAAATTATCAATCTATGATGTTTACAAAGATGTTTTTTTATTATTATGAGGTTTTGCTTTTGATCTTTCTGTAGATAGTGAATTACTGTTCTCTAAAATCAATTTGTATACGACCCCCTTTTCTAAGCAATTCAAATGGTTCAACTTTATGTATGCATAACTCGGTCAGTTTTTATCGTAATAAAATGAAACTTTTTGTGTTTACTTTGTTTTTGTGTACTGCATCTTTTCCTAAATATAAGTGATATGACCTGGGGACCGTATAAAAATTTAATTTTTGTAACTTTTTCAAAATGGGTTTTTTGGTTTGAAAAGCAAGAAAAAACATTTTTTACCTTTTTTAAAACATTTTTCAAATTGGAAGTATATATCTAAACTGAATGGTTCGGGAATTAGCTATTGGTTCACATTAAGGATGGACACCCTGTACATATATATATATATCTGTTTATTTTTATATTTTCGTTTATATATTTGTGTATATGTGTTTATATATATATATATGTATATATATATTTATATATATGTGTATATATATATTTATATATTGAATTTTTATTTTGGATTATATATATATATATATATATATATATATATATATATATATATATATATATATATATATATGCAATATCCTTCCCCTCCAGATGGCCGTCACTTGACCATGGTTCAAAATTACGTGGTCCGTCGCCAAAAGCCCTCGTGCAGCTGAACAGTGCGACGTTAATCTTCACTCACTCACTCACCCCTCCAGATGGCTCCGCAATGACTCTTGCACGTTAATTGGAACCGTCATTCTCCGGCAGGCATGTTGGAGATAGAGCGGAAAACAAAGAGGTAGTACGGCGGACGTTTTTGGGGTTATATAAAGGCAACAACTTCTTATTACCTCTTTTATTTATTTTATTTTTTTAAATGTTTGTGCCGTTACTTTTTTTAACAATTAAATGTATTAAAACATGAACTGTGCCTTCGTCTTCGTTTTAACCCGAATGAGGAATGAACCCTCTTATCCTACATATATGCATAAAAAAAATTTCTACAATTTTTCTATACAAAGCTTGCCTTTATTTCCATCAAACTTTTTGGTATTCAATACGCTAAACTATAGTACTCCTGTTGTTGCTAAAATCTGAAGAGCTTAAATAAAACATGTGCTGATTAGTGTCCATCTTTCAAATCATGTCATATACAAGAAATGTTTTAAGTGAATTGATTTTCTAGTTCTCGCAAATTAACCATCCAATATGCATTAGCAAGTAAATTAGAAATGCAATGTAGTAAAACAGAAATACAAGATATCTTTAACTTCAACTAATTAAAATAAATTATCAATTATCGGAACAACCATTCATCTTGTCTAGTAGTTAATAGAATATATTCCTTCGTTTAAATTCAAATTAGTCCGAAATTAATGACTTAGATTGCTAAAAAAAAGCACTGAAAAGTTTTTGTAATGAAATTCACTACTCTTTTACAGAAAATTAATCGATATTCACTCAATACCTGCAAATCGATTGCTGGACCATACGTAGTTTCGTAAGTGTAATTATCATATGATTGATAAATGATTATTAAAGAATGCTGAGTTCAATTAGTCATCGAAAGTTCAAGCAGCTTTCACGATTAATGTGAGTTGCATACATTTCATTTAATATTTTAATTAACACCTCAAAAATAAATTTGTTTTTGTGGCTTACCTTGTAATTAAATCATTATTAATTTATAATTGCAACTGGAATATCGTGTTTATGCAGATTATAGCTTTGCGCGTAATTGCTAAATATAGAGGGATCCTAATTCAAATGACTTGGTTAAGCACTTCCAGTTAAGACAACCATAGGGATATGCATTTTCTAGAGATATGCATTTTAGATCAAGGAGATCATGATTAAAATTATGAATGTCTATGAAATAAATAATATCTCTTAAAGTTGCCGCTAAATGAATATTACACTTAATATGCTGTTTAGTATTATATATTGTCACTTGAGATGATTAAGCTTTTTGTTGTGAATAACTATTAATAAATTATACAATAATATAGCGTTTAAATGTCACGGTAAAATTTGTCATAAGAATTACGCTCGCAGTGTCATATTTTAAATCGTAATTTTTTTCATTCTTATAATTCTCAAGTATTTAATTCAAATTATAACAGGCTATCTCAGAAATTTTCCTCTAGAAATTTATTGGATCTTCTTCGATGTTATTGCAAATTTAACTGTCCCGTTCCTTTCAGAGGAAACGTGGTATAGAAAGGTCATATAAAGTGAATTGAAGTAAAGTTGGAGGGGGTATGATATAAAAATGAATTGCTGAAAGTCAGAAAGCATTGAAGAGTTTTATTCTCTATTGATTCCGATTTTCCTGTGGAAGAAGAATTCTGGAGAATATAGTGCGTACATCCGAGTGTGTTGTTACATGTTCCATTTGGCCTATGCCTCTGGTAGTTCTGTCAGACTAATAGAGAGTTTGCCACTAATAGCCACTGATGACCAACAGTGTAGTTAACCTGATGCACTTTAAATCTGTCGAGGCTCAAAGTCTTTCCATTAGCGTGGTGAGAAAATTTGGAGAGGGAGTGTCGGCTCAGGTGTCTTCTTTGTCACTTGCCCATGGTTCAGAATTGCGAGGTCCTTCACCATTAGTCTTCGTATTGCTTTATAATGAGAAGTCAATAAACACTTCCTCTCCAGAAAGCCTCGGATGTGTAGTGTTATTTTAAGCAAACATTTGAATAGACAACCGGACACTTTATGTGAATAAGCACATGTTTACTTAAAATCAAAAAAGTTTAATTACATGAATGGAAACAATTGGAATATTAGTTCTATCTAAGTTAGATCTTTTTACAAAATAGAATTAAAAATTATTCTGATGACAAAAATTCTATTTTATATACGGAATGGGAAAAAAATTTAATTCCCTTAATAATTTTTAAGAAAACTGCTTGTTTCTTTTTCAAGAAAATTGTGTAAGAATAAGTATGTTTAAAGTAAACCGAATGAAAATAAACCAACTAACCCCAATTATGTCATTAATTCTCTGGCACTCTCTTGGAAATGTAAACCATGAAATAAAATACTTCCCTAGAATTAGAAATTATCTTTTTCAATCCCTACTATTATATATATACATATATATATATATATATATAGTTCACACTTTCCTTATATATATTTATGTATCTTGTTCAAATTTTCAATCGTTAATAAAATACTTTTTATTCATCCATTCAAGTTCAAATGCATTTTTTTAAACTTGTAGTGGATAACACTTGATGTTAATACAGTTTTTTTCAAATATTAAGTCATTAATTATTGAATATTTAGTAACAAAAATAATAGTCCAACACCATATATAAAAACGGAAATTGCTCGTAGTGTTCCTGTAGCACAATAGGTAGCGCATTGGTCTTCCAATCCGAAGGTCGTGGTTTCGAATCCCACCTGGGATGGTCTACTTTCTAAGAATGTGATTTTATTAACTATACTATTTAATTGGAATAATATTAAATTTAATTAATGAATAAATAGTAACAAACAAGAATAAAATAGTCCAACACCATATATAAAATGGAAAATCGCTTTCTATTTTGCCACTTAATACTGTGATTCTGTTGTATGCATATACATATTTATATTAATTGTAATTATTTAATAAAAAGTAACTAAAATAAAATTTTTCTTTGGTGACCTAAGTAGGAATTGACTTAATTTTTTTAATATATATTACTTGTTGGAGCAAAAAACAACAACAACTTGTTGGAGAGTTACTTTTGAAGGATTTAGCAAGGAAATATAGTTTGAGAACTGGAGGCGAAACTTCACCTGTCATTTCAACACCAGCAAGAAGAAAAGGGTTAAATAACTTATAACTTTTTTTCTATTTTATTGTGACTAAGTTGCTTGAATATGATAGTGTTAATTAGAAGAGAGAAATTAGTGTGATCTTAAAGGAATGTAGATAAATTACGGACTCTCAAAGTAGGAAGACAACCCACTCCTATTCTATACTGTTATCATTTATATGAATATCACGTTAGCAATGTGGGCAGTTAACGATTCCGTGTTTCAAACAAATTATGTAGCTTCTGGTAGTAATTAAATATCTTGATATTATGTAACTTTTATGTAACTTTGTTTCTTTTTGCCATACTATGTCTATTAGTTTACTGTTATCTATTTCACATACTGTAATTAGTATGGAATTTTCTGTGATGTAATAAATTGGGAATTTTAAATTTTCTAGTAATTTCCAGCCATGAAGAAATTGTTAAGGATATAAATATTTTTATAAAAACTTTAGTGAACACATAAATAATAAAACTGTCTGTGAGAAAGACTCAAATTACTTTAATAAACTTTGAAAGAAAATAATTTTTTTTTTTAGAAAGCTACGCAATTCCTTGCAATTTATGAAAAATTTGAAATAAATCCTATTTATATAATAAATCATAGATAAAATATGAAAAATCCAGTAATAATTTTGTAGGAAAGAGTCCTTTTAATCTATTTAAATTTAGTCTTTATAAATATGAGAAAAATATTTAGCATATTTAAAAGAAAAATTTCAGAAGTGTTCTGGATACTACGAAGCATTTTCAAAGAAACCTTATTACTGTTGTTACGCTTGCATCAAGTGGGTATAATATGTGGATGAGCATTGATTCGTAGATTTGGTGGATGCTTTTCTGCGGGAATTTTCTTCTTGGCAAGTTACATTGATGCGATCTAGGGATCGGAAGATGCTTGCTTTTCGGAGCCAAAATGAGCTCTATTTGGAAAACGACTCTCGGACAATCACGCCAGCCAGTGAAATCTTGAAGAATTATGAAGACGAGCAGTAGACAGGCGTGTAATGGCCGAAAGAAAATTGACCTATTAAAATATAAGCTCAGTGGTCCGTGAAAGGAAAGGTAACACTACGGGGAATGGAATTTTGTCGACTCACAGTCCTGCTGCAAGAGATGAATACAAGGGCATCTTATACCATTAAACAATATCTCATACCATTTCTGATTGTCAGGGCACATTATGGTCAACAGCTTGGTATCTCCCCTCTGTCTTTGATATCTACAGGCAGATCTTCTCTGAACATCGAGTTCATTTGAAGCGAGATTCATCAATGAAAACAATTCCACTCAAGTCAGCGTGATTCCAGGTCGAATAAATCCAGATCCACTACAAATGTGCTTGATGATGTGGAACAATGAGAGGCAGTTCATGGAATGGTCTCTGTTACCATAGCCCTTGTTCTCTGTGTCGTCTGTAGATGGTCATTGTAGTCACTAGTATCCTGGTTACACATCAGATGGTTGATGATAACGCTTCAGTAGCTGTGGGTGCCAACTAAATTATCGTTCTGTCCTCCTTCTCGTTTACTCATACGGCCATAGTTCACCAGTTCTGGACAATATCGTCAAATGATAGCATCGCTCTAATTAAAATGTCGAGTGGTGCTGTGATTTAACTACCTTGCTTCCTTTTGTCCAATTGCACGCCCTCTCTCAAATGGTAACATCTGCTCATATTGGTCTCGAGTTTTATTTACATCAAGGTATTGGTACAGTCCTTGTGAGTCCATGTAGCCACATTTACTTAAAGTTTTACGTTAGTATTGTGGAATTCTCTACCTTTTACACACCATCCAGATGCTACATTCGAATGCGTTGGAGCTTGAACGAATGTCACTGGCCGTTAAAAGTTGATCATAAGCGTATTGTATAGTAAAGTATACCCCTACGCAATTTTGTCTCCTTTGCATAAGTCCTTGTTGAGTCGCTTTTTGTGTCATATCGTATCCTTTATTTAAAACTTTTAGTAATTTTACTCGTTCTTAAGAAGAAGCAATTAAGAAGAAAAAATATTTTCTGATAGGAAAAGGAACTACTAGAATATAAATAAAATTTTGTTTAATTTTGTAAGTTAGCCCTTTGTAACGTTTGAAAGAATAACGGTAGCGTATTCTTGGTTAATTAAAATATGGATTTTATTTACGTCACAACTATTGAAAATTATTTACTAAATGATACATTAAAGTTATTAAATTTAATTATAGATTGTTAGAGTCCAATATTTTGTGAGAGGAGGATCCGTTGGTCACCGCTCTCGTGCAAGTTCAAAGCATCTCTCCCCTCATCTTCCGGTCGACGAGCTAGATTCCTCGGTGGGTCAAACAGGGGTTGCGCTGCACCTGCAGATGCACGTGTGAGTGTCGGGTCCACAAAGAAAGCCGACTAGATGTTGATGTTTTCGAGAAGTGACGTTACAGCTCTCACCCTCTCTTATAGAACTTTTCCGTTGAGAAAAGTTTAATGGAATGACGATGAGACAACTGACAGATTACCGACACATCCCTTCATCAAGCACCACTATATTTCTGAGCTGCAATTTTAACTACTAAAGAAAACACTGAACTAAATTTAAAATTACTTATTTCTAGTGAGTGAGTGTTCTTGCTAGGGAACTTACACAAATCCATAGTACGAAAATGATCAATAGCAATGTAAGAAAACATACTACAACATTAAATAAAAATACAAACACTCCTATCACAATGCCTATTATCAATTATACTAACAACATGTTACATCAAATGCTATTGTAAGACCTTACACATAAAATATTCTTCGCCACAATACTTAATAAAAATTATACTTACGACATGTGTGTTGATATGATATGCGAAGTGTACAACCTTACACACAAAATATTTTTCACAATATGCCTCTTGCGTAAACTAAATACTCATGTATATTTTAAAACCCTATACACAAAATTAAGCATATTAATACATTTGCTTTCATGGCTCTATCTTTTGACACGCATCTCCATTCGAAATGATATACATTACTAGTAAATAAATAAAATTAATACAATTATTAATCTTTAAATAAAAAACATTATAAGCAACAATTATTATTCATGAGCAAGAGAACATTGTTGACAATTCCTAATTATCTATCACCGATCTGCTGAGACTATCTGCATTTTTGTGACTTTTACCCGACCGATGTACAATTCTAAAATTATATGGTTGCAAAGCCAAAGCCCATCGCATCAATCTAGGGTTAGAACTAACATTTCTATTCAACCACACCAACGGGTTGTGATCGGTCATAACTAAAAATGAATTTCCATCTAAGTAATAATGTAACCTTTTAATTGCGAAAACAATACTAGCACATTCCTTCTCCGTCGTACAATAACGCTTCTCTACCTCTGAAAATTTCTTACTCAGGTAAAGGATTGGATGCTCCTCACCTTGTTCAGTTAATTGAGTTAAAACTGCTCCCATACCTGCGTTTGAAGCGTCCGTTTGAGCAATGAATTCTCGTTCAAAATTTGGCGCGTACAAGACGGGCTTATCAATTAGTTTCCCTTTTAGTTCTCGAAATGCGTTTTCACACTCGGTCGTCCACTTAATTTCTCCCTTCTTTGCTCTTCCTTTCAACGTATCCGTCAACGGAGCAGCGATTACCGAGAACAGATTTATATATTTTTGGTAATAACCCGCTATACCTAAGAAAGCACGTATTTGGGTTTTCGTGCGAGGGGTAGGGAACTCTAGAACAGCCTGAACTTTGATCTCGGAAGGGGGTGCGAAAACCCTGACCCACAATGTGACCCAAAAATTTGACATTTTGTTGTGCAAACTTACACTTTGAAGGTTTTATCGTTAACTTAGCTCTCTTTATTCTCTGCAGAACCGTTTCCATATGTTTAATGTGCGACTCCCAAGTATCTGAGAAAATTGCGATATCGTCTAGATACGGGAAAACGAAATCCTCTAGTCCGTTAAGTAATTCAGCCATGAGTTTACTAAAGAAATATGGAGCATTCTTTAATCCGAAACTCATCCTTAGGGGTCTGTATGTACCAAAGCTAGTACAGAAGGCTGCGTATCGCTGTGCAGTTTTACTCAAAGGTATTTGCCAATATCCTTTAGATAGGTCTAAGACGGTAATAAATTTAGCCGCCGATACTTTTTCTACACGTTCTTCGATATTCGGAAGAGGAAAATATTCCGTTCTAATGATCCCGTTTAATTTCCTGTAATCTATACATGGACGAGGTTCTTTCCCAGCTACCTCAACTAAAATCATAGGGGACATGTAATCCGATTCTCCTACCTCAATGATTCCTAATTTTAACATTCGGTTAATTTCGTTTTTTAAGATTTCATTTTGTCGGTGCGACATTCGAAGGGGCTTCGTTGTAACTGGTTGATCGCTAACTAACTGGATTTCGTGTTCAACCAGATTAGTTAAACCGGGATTGTTTGAAAAACATTTAGAGTATTTACTTAATAATTCGCGCAGTCGATCCATTTGTTTGTCGTGAAGGTGTTTGTTCAACTCGCTAGCCTGGATTACGTCCTCGAAATCATAAACGAGAGAATTGTTTTCTAATATGGGATTTCTAATTCCTGGTCTGCGAGAGAGTTTTTTGTTTC